GGGGGGGGGGGGGGGGGGGGAAGAATTTATCAGATTACTAGGAAGGAAAACAGGAATTAGTCACTTGGATACTTAGGAGTCAGTGTTACTAATATGTCTAGATGAATGATCAATCATAGTAAAAGTGGAATGCTACAGTTCTTTGCTTCTCTTCAGCAAAGTGTATCAATGGCAATAAGGAGTAAACTTGGGAAAAAATTGGAGCTATAAAACGTTAACCAAGGTAAGTCTGATGGCAGTATTAACTACAGTGCGCTGTAAAGAATTACAAGACCCTTCTCTTTACAACAAATCCACAGTTCTTTAAAAACATTTGGGATCATCAGCAGCTCTTTTAAAAAAGGAAGAAAAAAAGAATGCATCCCATGGCAAACAATTACTGGGCAGTCCGACTTGGGATCAACTAAGAATCTGGCTGAAAGAGAAGAGATCTCTCTCTCAACCAGGGAGAACTTATTTGAAATTCAAAGCTTTGAGGCTGCCTGTACAGATTTGTCAGAGAAGACTGGGTGGGAATGCTGAGGGGAACTGGGACTCAGGAGCAAGACCAAGTTTTAGGCTTGCTGAAAAAGAAGGATCACTTGAACAAAAGAAGGAGTCCTTTTCTATATCAATCAAATTCTTTGATCATTTACATCACAGAATCAATGAACTGGAACGGACTATGGAGGTTATTAGCCCAACCTTCTGGTCAGTGCAAGATACAAGACAGAAAACACTGTCCAGTCTCTGCTGACGAATGGGAACCAATGCCTCCTGAAGTAATCTTTGCCACTGAAATCACTATTTGGAAATTCTTCCCAGCATTTCTCTAAAATCTGCATCCCTGCATTCTCTGTTCTTTGATTCAAATCCAGCCCTCTTCAACAGAGAACAGCTTTGTGTCATCTAAATGCAGCCTACATAGTGGAAAACAGAATGAAATCACTTTTTCTGTTATCTAGACGCCATGTTTCTAATAATTGAACCTAAGGCTGCACCATCTGTAGCTATCACGTATCTCTGCTGGCTCATATCCAGCTCATGATTCACTAAGATCCTTTTTACACATATACTTAGACTAAGTTAGGTCTATTTCATCAGCTATCTTAATCTATAGAAGTTGTACTTCTGACATCTTTATCACCCAATTAGGCAGCAGCACCTAGAAAACCTTGGCTTATCTTGAAAGCCGAGAGCTGGTTTGGTGTAGTGGTTAAGGCATCAGGCTAGAAATCAGGTGACCGTAAGTTCTATTCCACCTTAGGCATGAAGCCAGCTGGGTGACCTTGGGCGAGTCACACCCTCTCAGGCGGCAATGGTAAACTACTTCTGAAAAACCTTGGCAAGAAAACTGCAGGGACTAGTCCAGGCACTCACCAGGAATCAATACTGACTTGAAGGCACCAAAAAAAAAAAAAATCTTGAAAAGCTAAGCAGGGCTAGACTTGGTTAGTGTCTGAATGGGAGACCATTAGGAAATCTCATGGCTGTAGAGTAGACAGCAAAGGGGGTGGGGACCCTCAAAAGGCAGCAGTGGCAAATAATTTCTGTACTGTTGCCAAGAATGTTACATGGATATGACCATGAAGTATGAGGGAGGGGAGGACAAGTTGATTATACAGATACAAGTTACATGTGAGACAGATTCTCCTACCAGTTTTGCAAAAAAACCCCAAAATTCAAAAGAAAAACTGGGCAGGGGAAAACTACAACACTCTTTTGTCCCACTAGTATCAGGGACAGCACAAGAAACAGTCTGGGAGAAGACTGGCAGCCACCCAACACTGGAGGCTCTACGATAGTCATTAAATTAAGTAAGCTCTCTCTTGTCCCTGGCCAGCAATGCCAAGATTTTTGCTAGCTGGAGAAACTTTTCCACTGAGTTATTTAATAATGGAGATCAGATACACTCTTCCATACAGAACAAGAAGCAGCAGTGGCTAACCTCTGTAATCTCATTTGTAGATATACACAAATAAATGAATAAATATTTGTGTCTGAGTCAGTCTTGACCACTGGGGACTCCTAGACAAGTCCCTGCAGTTTTCTTGGCAAGATTTTCAGAAGTGGTCTGTCACTGCTGAGACTGATTAGCCCCAAATCACCCACCTAGTTTTCATGCCTAAACCAGCAGTAGATGGCCTCCTGATCTCTAGCCCAGTGCCTTTAAACCAGTGCACCAAACTGGCTCTCAACCCCATTATACAGACTGATACTAATTACAATATATGTACAAGACATAGAGTACAGTAGAATAATTGATTAGATACAGCAACACACAGTAATTTGATTGGAAACGTACATTAATGCGTTAAAAACAGTGAGGTAACGAGGGTGGCACTACAATGACAATAATAGCTCACTGAGTTAGACAAAAGCTGTGTCCTTTGGATAAGAGTTACTGTTGATATGTTACTTATTATCTGCCAGTGGCCTTGCTTCCCAGCAATGCCCTAATCAACATGTTTTGCAATTAAATGTTTTGGGGCTGACCTGATGGTTTTATTTTCCCTGAGAAAGTGCATTTGGGTGGGGGGTAATTTATTTGCCTTAACTAACCCCATTTTTCTACTAACCTGGGGATGATGGAAGTTGCACCCAGTTGCCCTGAACATTAAGATAGGGTGAATCAAATCAAAACCTTTATTACAGCCTTTAGGCCAGCAAGTGCTACAATAAAAATGCAGTACATAAACCTATAATTAATAAAACTAAAAAGCAGACAATAAAATTTCATGAAATAAATTAATAAAGTAACAATAACGCAGAAAACAGTGGCCACCACCAAAATTTGTACCAAACTTCAGTCATAGGTAGGACAGATGGCACCAAATCGGGCCACCCAGAAAGAGAGGTCAGGGTCCGGGCAGAAGAAGCTAAAGAAGCGAGCGATTTTGGAGTGGGGGGGAGAATGGGGGCACGCACCCCTGAAGTCACCCCGCCAGCACACACCTTGTTCGAATAGACAGGGACGACGGGGATATCTGTGAAAAGGCGGCGGCGCTTGTGAAGGGGCTTCCTGGGGGTCCCTTCTGTTTCCGAGTCGCTGCTGGTGCAGGAATTCACCTGTTTGGGAGGGGCGGGAAACACCAGGGGGCGTTATTCAGAAATCCAAATTTAAACCCCCCCCCCCCCTTGTTTTTTCCCTTCCAGCCGGCTCGTACTTACCGTCTCCGCCATTGCAGGAGCTGATACTTCCTATTGGTTTTGATATTCGCGTTGCTCCGCCCCCTAGGATCCGATTGGCTCCACCCAATACCTCTCCGTTTCTTCCGTTCTCTTCACGCCACAAAGAAAAGTTTGAACGAGCAGGGATTGCTTTAGGAGCCTTAGCTTCCGTTTGCGGCAGCGCTAAGCAGTCTGGGGATGGTAGTTTTTTTCAGTTGAGACGGCTCAGATGGTTTGTTTTCCGGGGGAGACCGGAGAAGAAGTCTGGGATTCTGCGCTGCCTCGCGGGGCGCCTTTTTCTCGAGGCACGAAACCTCTAGTTGGAATGCAAATGCGGTATTTTTCACTATCCTAATCGTTCCAACGAATCGCCCATTTGGAGGGATTTTTTTCTTCTCCTAAGTACATACCTCTGAACAAACCACATAAAGCAATCATATTTACACTGGTCCATGGGGGGAAAAAATCCAAGATCCATTGCTAGGTGAGTATTGTCTTTATTAGGCTATGCCAGATTGGTCCAAACCAGCACAAGCTTTTGAATTGTTTTTTGAAATCGTTTTTATTAAAAGATTTTGCATAGATAAATACATTCAAAGAAAAGAAAAAATATATAGTAAAGTAAATGTGAAAAAGAAAAATAGAAAAGAAAAAAAGAACAAAGAGAAGATAGAGGAAAGAAAAATAAAATAAAAGAACAAAACATGAAAAAATATATGAATGAATGAATGAATGAATGAATGAATGAAATTATATGAATGATTCCAATCTTCCTCTGGGCAGACAATATACAGACAATTCTAATTAAACCTTTCTCTAAGATTTCATCATAATTCCCTTCTTTCTATAACTATTCGTTCTAATCATCAAAACCAAAAGTCACAAAATCATTTTCTTTCTTATGCAAAAAGTCCATAAGGGGTTTCCAATCATTGATGACTGCCAATAATGACCTTTCTCTAATCAAAGAAGTCTGTCCATCTCGCCAAGTTCTGCCAACTCATTTCACTAACTAATCCTCTATGGTGAGTACAATAATGCTGAATCTTTCCATCTCTGTGCATATAGTAATCATGCTGCAGTAATCATATATTGAAATAACCTTCTATGGCTCTTTTCTAACCGTTTATCCATCAGTCCTAAAAGGAAAAGTTCTGGCTTCAGTTGAGTATTAACCTTTAAAATCCTCTGTATCAATGTACAGTCAGGTCCAGAAATATTGGGACATCAACACAATTCTAACATCTGTGGCTCTATACAC